CTGGACGCGGAGAGTGTGTGGGGCAGGGGGAGCGTGCGCGAGAGGAGGGGTCCCGGTGCTTCTCTCGGCTCGGGTTTCAGGGGGAGAAGACAGAGTAAGACCTGGGAACCCCGCGGGAAGGCCGGGGCGGAGACCCCGCGAGAGGGGCGTGGCGTGGCGTGGGTGGGACCCGCCTCTCCAGAGGGCTCCGACTCCTCCGGCGCGTCCTCAGTTTGCCTTTCTCCCCGCAGCCACCTCTCTTGCCCCTCGAGCCCATCTCCAGGTAGAGGATTCTACACTCGGAGCAGGGAAGGGGGAAGGGGAGGCTGTTGGAGCAGCCAGGACGCCGAAGGGCTGTTGGTTTCCTGGACCAGGAGAACCGGGCTTGCCAGCTCTGGAAAGGGCGCGCGCGTGTGGGCTCGGGGGGGCGGCCGGCGGTGCACGGTCCCCCACTGGAGTGCTTTTGAAGTGGGTGGAGTTTGGCTAGGTGAAGCCCTCCGCACGCGACCCTTCAGTCAGGGATAAGGATGTTGCAGCCGCTCAGACACACACGCACCCACGCTCGCACAAAGACACACAATGCCAGACGTGTGAGTGCGCTCACACGCTCACTCAGGCACACAGATGCCCTCCCATCGCACACCCAACCCTCGAAGACACACAAGGCATCCTTGTCACCGTGCACAAGGCCACACTCTCAGGGCACTCCAAACATACACACAAACGCACGTGGGTGTCACGGTGGGTGGTCCAGTGTGTGTGAAGGTTGTGTGAAGGAGGGCATTGTTGAGGCCGGTGACATCCAAGCACCGCAGTGGATGGGCGTCCCTTTCTCCTAAGGGTAGGCAGGTGGAGGGTTCCCAGGGCTGCTCTTCTGGGGGCCACCACGGAATTGGGGAGAGATGTCTGCCAGGGGCTCAAGACAGTGTGTGTGAGAGAGTTAAAGATTCTGCAGGAATACCCAGGCAGGGCATTTCCAGGAGCAGGCTGTCCACCTGCCCATGTAGGGGCATATGATGGGCTCTGAGAAGCCTAAGACCCCCTTCTTCCCCACAACCCGCGGGCCCCCTCTCCCACATTACATCCATTCCTGGAGAGAAGGAACTGGCTGAGCTTTTCCAAGCCTCTTCCAGTCTCCCAGGGTGGAGAAGACCCCTAGCCCAGCAAAGGGCATGTGTCCGGTCCTGTCTTTGTTGGGGGTTCCCCCAGGCAGGGATGAGGGGAAGCATGGAACATGTCATGCCCCTCTGGGGCAAGGTGAAAATCTCCAAAGCATGCCCAGCCAGGCAGGCAGAATCTGCTGGACCTAGCCAGGTCTGTGCCCCCACACCTTCCTCCCCTTCACCAAAGGGGCAGATTATTGCAGTCACATGAGCCTAGTGAGGCCAGGTCTGAGATTTCAAGCCCTGTTAGATACTAAAATTTTATTGTGATCTTTCTCATTGTTTAAATGTGACTATCACAATCATAAACAAAACAAAAACATCACTGCATTGATAAGTAAAGCAGTGCCTGACGATTGTAGAGGCTCAATAAATAATTGTTCAAAAACCTACAGATTGAATTTATCTGCAGGCTAGACTGAGATGAGAAATTGGGGATGAGGTTGGGAGTGTGTGTGATGTGACAAAGCCCTCCCAGTCTCTTCAGAAATCTCCCTACACTGCGAATCAAGGCTTAAGACCTCAGGGCTCTCGTAATGTCTGCTCCCTGTGTCTGGCATGCTCTTCCTCCAGAAAGCTGCACAACCTGCTTCTTTACCTTCTTCTTTGCCCACACTTGTACAGAGTCATACAATGCCAGGCGTGCTCAAATGCTCATTCAGGCACACAGATACCCTCCCATCTCATGTCCAGACCTGTGAAGACACACAGGCTTACATATCTCCTCATTGAGGTTTTCCTTGACAATCCTATTTAAAACTAAAATCTGTACTTCCCTCCCCCCCCAATATTCCCATTTTTGTCCCTTCCCGCTTACCTTCCCCCATAGTGCTTAGCACCATCTGCAGATCATTGTATTTATTTATTTCACATCTTATCTGCTTCTCCTTGTAAAAGGGCAGGGCCTTTTGTCTGGTTTATCCATGGTTGCACCCCCAGTTTCCCATGGTACCTCCACATTGCAGACTGTCAATAAACATTGAAGGAATGAAAGCCCGCAGCACCCACTCACCCAGGGCATGCAGGGCACAGGAAGACAAGTGTGTCTTTGCTTGTCCTTGCAGGTCAGTGTCAGAGCACGGAAGACTGCTGGGTTTAGGCACATGGTCTCAGATTTAGAATGTAATGGTGATGTATGACTAGTCATTCCAAAAAAGATTTGAGTGATGTGAATTTGGGGGAAGTAGTTAGAGACTTCGTAAAACTAGAAACTTGGATGGGCAGGGGAACTGGGCTGCACGGGAAGTCTTGATGGACCTTGTTGTACCTGAGCCTTCCTTTCTCCATCTATAAATGGTGATGACGGAAAACAGGGATGCCCTTGTCCCAGCAATGCTGAGCAGGGAGACAGCAGGGAGAGAGGGAGTGGAACTTCCCTAGATGCGTACTGTGCTTTTGGAGAATGAGGAATTAGCCTGGGTTCTCTGCTGGCTCTATTAGGAACTTGGACAGCTTGTTAAGGCCCATGTTTCCTGGGAAATGGTTAGTTTGGATGAGAGGATCTTTAAAGTCTTGGTTCAGACTTTGGATGTTCTTGGTCCCAGGGAAGGGGCAGGATGAGTTAACAGCAAAAGTCTATTTAATTTTGCTCAAAGGGCTGATCCACCTGACTAGCTCTGTATGACAATGGCAAGCTGCAGCTGACAACTGTGGTTAGCTAAATTCATTCACTTATTTATTCTTTTTTTATTTTTTATTTTTTTTTTGAGTTGGAGTCTCACTCTGTCGCCCAGACTGGAGTGCAGTGGCCGCTCCCGGCCACCGCAGCCTCGACCTGCTGGGCTCCGGTGTTCCTTCTGTCTCAGCCTTCCGAGTAGCCGGAATTACGGGCATGTGCTTCCACGCCCAGCTGATTTTTTGATTTATTGTAGAGATGAGGTCTCGCTGCCCAGGCGGGTCATGAACCCATGGGCTCAGGCAATCCACTCACCTCAGCCTCCCAAAGGCGTGGGGTTACAGGCTGAGCCACCGAGCCCGGCTCACTTATTTATTCTTTCAACAGACTTTTAACATGTGCGGGTCAGGATTGGCCACATAATTTGTGGGGCTCTGTGTAAAATAAAAAAATATGAGATCTCTTGTTTAAAAAATTAAGCATTTTAAGACAGCAACAGCGGAGCATTAAATCCAGCACAGAGCCCTTCTAAGCATGGGGCCCTGTATGACTACACAGGTCACATGCCCGTGAAGCTGGTCCTGTTAAGGGGACAGAGGTGAATAATAAGAGCTAACCTTTATTGAGGGTATAGTATGAAATGGCCACATCTTAACTCATTTTAACCTCACAATGACATTGGAAAGGAGGTACATTTATTAGCTCCCTTTTAGAGATGAGAAAACCAAGGCACAGAGCAGTTCAACAATTTGACTAAGATCACTCAGCTGGGATTAGATCCAAGGCAGTCTGACTCTAGAGCCCCTGCCGAAACCACTGGAGAGTTCAGGTTAGTGGAAGCACAGGTACATGGCAGAAAACTGTCACATATTGTAAAAAGGGCTCCTTGTGGCATAAAGGCAGGTCTTCAATTGGTCTTATCCTCCACTGTATTCCAGTGCCAAGAGCAGTGCAAGGTAGGTGTTTTGAAACAAATCTTAAATAAATTAATACATAAATATGATAGAAATAGACACAGAATGTTAGGGGAGTAGTTGCACACTCAAATGCCTATAAGGGTGGGCAGGTAACAGACACGAATGAGGGAGAAATATTGTACACTCTTCACTTTCATAAAGAAATATACTATCTCCCATTTTCTTGGAAACATTTGACCTTCTTGGTCTAGATTCTATTTCTCTGCCATTTGATAGAGATGGTGGTCTGAATGAATAATTTTTAAAAGAAAAACAACAACACAAACATAACATACATTGCAATGAACACATTATTCAGAGTTGGGAAGGCAATGGGGCATGGTGGGGACTGGTAATAAACTGGAGGTATGTACGATAGCCACTGTAGAGGGTTCTGGGTATATAGTTGTTTTGAAAAGTTGGTATGGTCCCCGCTTTCCTGGATCTTAAGTTCAAGTGCAAGGTCTAGGCATGAAGCAATCTGTATGCACATGTACACACACACACACACACACACACACACACACACACACACACACACACCACTTGGATAAGGGCCATAAAGAAAATGTCAAAGAAATGGAAGAATATGTACCAGAGGCATCTTATGTGGTCCAGCAATCAGGGAAGGCCTCTCTGAGGAAGTAATATTTGAGCCAGAGATAAGAGAAGGATAAGTAAGGGTTAACTTAGGTGAAAGGATGTGGGGCTGGGGGTGAAGGGAGCATCCCAGGTAGAGAAAAGAGCAAGTGCAAAGGTCCTGGGATGGGAGTGGGAAGAACTCTTTGAGGACTGAAGATGCGGAAAACCAGGGAGTGGGTGTATGCACAGGGGGTGACAGGGGTGTGGTATGAGGAGCTGGATGCAATTAGAGAGTGGGCAGGATCTTGTGGGCTGTGGAGGGGAATGTGATCTTCATCCTTCGTTTTCGGCAGGGAGTGTTGTGA